AGTAAATTGGAAATACTATAGATACTTAGATATATCTGTATAGGTAGATCTTAGATATAGATAGTTAAAACATAGCCCTACGTTTCATATGCAATTAATTAAATTATGTAGTTTATGCAATAATACTGTATAGATTAAATATACGTTAAAAATTTAATAAAGCATTGAAACTAAGATCTCGCCTTGAAAAAAAAATTAAAAAAAAAGATTTTATATAATATTATTATATAGAAGGTGGTTATAAAGAGGTATAACTGTATTTTCTTTTTTCTTTTTTCTTCACCTATTTTTTTGTTAATCTTTTTTTTCTTATTTCTTTACTTTTTTTTTTCTATTTCTTTTTACTATTTTTTTTTACTTTTTCTTTATATTTCTCTTTTCTTTACTTGTTCTTTTTTTATAAATATAATCGTAATCATTTGAGGGAGGGAGAGAATTTTACCATTTACAAAAAATCAGCTGATAAATAACACTTCCCTTACACAACGTTAGATTGTCAGTCACAAAGAATACAGTATGATGTAAAAGTTGAAAAAATCGTTAAATTTTCATTAATAAAAAAATTTTTTTACGTACTGCAAATCTTAAACATTTATACTTAAAAACTAACATTTGCAGCCAATTCACGTTTAAGAACAATAGAGTTAACTCGGATTTTACTTCGAAAATACTAAAAGGATTATTCAGAAACCTCGATGGAAGTTTTACTTTGAGATTTTTAATTATTATATCAATTCAAATGGGATTCAGATGGGTATAAGTCTTCTTGGTGGCTCTTTATAGCCTAAAGTTAATTCTTTAAGTATTCATAACCATCATCTTAGTAATGATGGAGGCATAGTTTTAGCAGATTTTCTTCACAAAAACAAAACATTGACTTCTTTAAAGCTTTATGGAAGACCATTCACTAATACTACTGGATTAGGAGTATCAAAAATCCTAACTAACATTTTAAAGATCTAATTATAATTCTGAATCAAAAATAAGAGATGCATGAACCGAAGCACTTTGTAATAGAAAACCAGCAAGTTACTTATATAATTGAAATTTTGGAATCGGAGGGATATTTGCGTGACATAAGGCTATCCATCTGTAAATTGACCGCCAAAGATCTAAGCCACATAAGTAAAGGCAAAGATGAAACATTCATGAAGAACTTCAGATAAAAGAAAATCATTTAACACTTATTACTGTTTGATTTCTAAGGATCCACATAAAAGTCATATTCGTAAAAATAAAATAATATTCACTAAAGTTTGGCATAAAAATTGGGTCAAAGTATTTTATTTATAATGATAATAATTTTAGCCGTTTATACTTTTTCTACAAATTAACTCATTCACTTCTTTTCGGCTTTATTATTACTTATTCTTGAATATATTTGTACTATGCTTATTATCATGCCGAAATTGTGAAAATTAGATAGCATTATAACAGCTTTATTAAAGATATTCAAATTTAAATAAATATAATAATATGTAATAATAAATTCTTTATTCAAACCGACGACTTAATTAAATTTTTTTTTTAATGAGATCTATTGCTAATTGAGCGGTGCCATAACTTGACTGATATCCTTTAAAAAATGTATATATCAATTCAATAAAATGAATGAAGGGTTAATGAAATAAAATCAAATGTGTGTAATCTATTTATTTACCAACACCACCGTGACCGTAATTATGACAAACGAGAATTTTTTTGTTGTTAAAGTTTTCACATTCTAAATAACAAATGCATTAAAAAATAAGAAAAATGAAATATATAACATGTTTAAAAATTTTAATTTTAAGAAGCCATATAATGTACCTTTCCATTCGGCCTCAACTCTTACGCCGCCTCTACGGTAAGGTCGTAGACCAACTCGGTGTCCTTTAAGTGTTAGTTCGATTTTGGTATCATCCGGTAAGAGATCTGGACGAGTGGTAAAACATCTCTGAATAATTTTTGAAGCTGTATCATGCTCAATATCTGTAGAACTGATTTTTGATGAAATTTACATAAGACATAATTATATTTGCATAATGAATGACGTTACATAATAATTATCTTACGAATTATTTTCCTCCTATAATAATAGTTAAAAACAGATATGTAAATAATTATAGTTTAACATTTGCTATATAATTTAAGAATCCTTACGCGAGTTCCACCAATAATTACTTCACCATTTTCGCGCGGTATGATGTATGTTTCTACTCCTGTTCCATTATTAAAATAAAAAATAATGCACTTAATCTTTAGAAAAGATATCGTGCATAATTAAAATTTCTCACAAACCAGTATCTCCAAAATAACCATGTCGAAAACATGCCCAATTCAAACATGACTGAGATAATTTCATAACTATTGATTGGCCCCTCACAGGATAGACTTTAGAGTCTTCAACACCTTTTAATATTCTGGCATTATATCCTGAACAATTGATCAAAATATCAGTATCTTCACGAACACATTCATCTAAATGTTTGATCTCGGCATGTTCTGTAGTGCCACCTAAGAAGATGAAGGAGCTGAGAAGGTAGTTAAGATAGGTTAACGGGTTAATAGAGACTATAGAAATTATCAAATAGTTGGTTATTTGCATCTTAATTAATCAACATTAAAAAAGTTGTAAAAAGATATTTAATATTTACGTGATTTATACTTAATCCCTAATTCAACCCCATCTGGCAATTCATTTTTTTCCAAACGTCGATACTATTATATTAATACATAACAAAAATTTTAATACTGGATTTTCATCAAAAAGCTCTAACATCCGAATTATATACACTACTTACCTCGTGACATACTCTACTGTACCACGGATCAACGAAATTATCTGATTTTTCCCAATAATTAAATTCATCAATGATCATAACTCCAGTTACGTTTGACATATTTTTATTAGCAAGTTCCCAAAAATAATTATAAGTTGATTCCTCAAATTCTATTAAATTATTTAAGAAAATTTTACGTTAGAGAAAGTAGTTTTCTAATGATATAATAACCAAGTAAAATAGCTATCATTATGATTCTGCCTCTAATTATCACAAATGAAATTTTGTCAAAAACATATCATACCTTGTTGTCTAGGGTCAGTATCGGAATGGCTTCTCCAATGCGCTCCGGCACTACAAGATAAATGTTAAATCTGCAGTAAACGGGATAATTAAAAAAAAATAAAAAATTACATACACAGTACTCGTATATTTATAGGATGAAGCCTCAGGATCATTTGGAAAAATGTTTGCAATTATATGAACATTAATCCCTTTTTCTTGTTTTAATAATAATGTAGCAACAGTTAAACCGATAACACCTGTAAAAAGTTAAGATGTTAGAAATTAAAACTTTACAAAAATGTGACAAAATACTTTCCCTACCTGCGCCAAGTACAACAACATTTTTTTTGTCCATCTTTATAATATCTAGACAAAGACTATACGTTTCCACAATTTGGAGATTTCGCAATTTAACTGCCGAGCTATAGCTCGAGACCGTGAGCATAGAAGTTCCGATTATCATTATTTATACAAATGGTCGTATGTAAGCGAGTGAGAGTACGGGACTTCCAAATTTAGCAATTCTTGTCGGTTGTATCATTTAAGGTTTTACGGATAAAGTATTTATGCATGTACTTTTCTGCTTTTGTCAACAGGTTTTTATGGCATGGAATTGCTAAGTACGTATGGGGATCGCCTAAAGCCGGGTAGCAATTTATGTTCATCACGTGATTTTCAATTCACAAACTTGTTTAAAAATACCTGCTTTAGACGACCTCTAAGGATAGTAATACGTAAATGTATATATTTATTATTATTATGTATCGGTACGTATATCGTCAAATTTATATAAGGAATAAGAAAATATGTACGTACCAGGAAAGGAGTAATATAATAAGTAGCTGCATGACATTGTCACTCGAAACAGGAACGGATGTATATAAACTTAATTTAGAAAATGTTTGACAACTCCAATACAAAATACGTAGCAATATAAATATTGGATATCAGATACAGTATACAACCAAATACAGCATAACTATATTGACTATAATTTAAACAAAAAAGATTTTTAGATATGTATGACGTATAGATGGGTGGCGAAATTCAAAAAGGAAATTAAAACAATAATTAATAATCATCTGATATTGTTGTAATTCCTTTTTTGAAATTCGCCATCCATCTATAGTATGGTGTAGAGCATAAAATACGCCGGAGTAGATATAGATATTAAAAATAGGTAGGGACGGGCACGCGCGTGTTTCGCGCGTGATGGTTGTTACCAAATGCTCATTTAAAGATTACTTAGATTCCTACGGTAACTTAATGGTAATTTACCAATAAATTATCATAATTTTACAACCCTGGGCATGGGCGTTATTTCGAATTTTAAGCTTAATTCGGGCCGAATTTGAAACAATGCCCATGCCTCTATTTCTAACAAAAATTAAGAAACCCGCGGATTTTGATTCTATCCCGTGCGGGATTTTCGGAGAAACCGCGATTTGCCCATCTCTAAAAATAGGGTATTTCACACACCATACAGATCTGGTCATACTACCGTAATACCATATACGAGATCCCCTCAAATAGTAGATCCACCATGAATTTGGCCCAGATGCAAACCACAAAATCTATATTAACCAAATGCTTACTGTAATTTTGCTATCTCAAAAATACGGATAATAACTTTTAGCCAATCAGAACAAGTCTATGACAAAAAAAGGTGGTTTCAAACTTTTTTTTCATCGAGATAATAATAATGAACCTACTACCGGTTAAATTAGAAATTAAATTTCGACCTATTAATTATTTGCTTGTAAGAATTTTAAATCAATACGAATAAAAATTTAACCGAGAAATTAATTAATATATTGATTAATAATGTTTAATTGATTAAATAAGAAAAAATATCATGTGAAAACCTGACATTATATGATGAAGAGTTTGTAAACCTATTTCAGCTTATTAAAGATTTTTAGAGCTGTTAATGCTTGTATGGCTTAGTGCTCGGCAAAATCAAATAAAAACTTGATTTTCAAGTTTTTAATCTATCGGTTTACAGTATTATGCTTTAATTACAAAATCTAATTTTACT